GATTAGAAGGTCAGGAATACGTCATAAAATCTTACAACATGTCTCACAACCATCCTTGTAGTAGTTCATGGATGGTTTGTGATCCATGGAGCAGAAGATTGTCATCCAAAGAAAAAGAAAACTTGAAGCCAGTAATATTGCACTCTCAGTCAACATATGAAGTTGCAGAAAGTATTAAGGAGAGAATTGGTGAGCAGGTTACTGCTGCTGATATCAAAGCTATAAAAACTAAACTCTCTACTGGTAAGTGTATAGAAATATATTTCAGGTTGTACTCAAAAGCAGGTAATGCATATGCTGTGACAAAACGGTGAAGTTAGGGAGAATGTAGAAAGCATTATGAAGTGAATCTAAGCACTTGTGAGTGTAATTGTAGAATATTTCTTACGTGTCGATATCCTTGCCGCCATCTGCTACTGGCATATATTAAAAGACAAACTCTTACAGGTAAGCTTAATCACTTACGAAATATGAACTATATAGCTCATCAAATTCTCAGGCATTGTTGTACATAGCAGTTAGAAAGTACGCACAACTTGCAAAACAACACAACAATTTAATTACCGAGATGGAGTGAAGGATATATACAAATTCAACGGCTCCAATGAGTGTGCAAACAAAAAAGTATTGAGAAATATGGTGAACGATTCGTGAAACAGGTGGAGAGCAAGGCCTACAATTTTTACGTAAGAATTATAAACATCTAGACAGCACGTTCACGATAAACAGTTCTTTGTGGCTTTATTTTTGACTTCACTATATATACAACTTGTTAACTTATCTTTCTACTTTAGTAGTCATGACAAATCAATAAACTTTTTCTCAATTTTTATTTTCGTCTTCCTCACACTTTCACGGGGAGGTATACCAATAGTTTTAACGAATAATTGCGTGTGAGAATTAAGAACTTGTACCACTGCATTAGTTTCGAAGTGTCGTTAGAACTTAGCGTTATATCACTGTTAATTGTGACGAATGAACGAGTCTCTTAGAATGGTAATGCGACCTACACGTAAACCTTACAGATTAGGCAACCACCTGACATATTTTCCGTTGTCGGATTATTTCTATTATCAAGTTAGTATTAGTATCGAACTAGATAATTTCATGCAATTAGTTCCCTGATAATATGGGTTACGTAATCCTTAAACCACCCTTCCACTCACACATATTTGCTAACTTTATCCTCTTAAATTATGTGAGCTCTTCAAATTGTATTCAATTATCTTACTACTTTTTAATTCAATGATTTATTCATTACCTCTAGAATAATCACACAATTTATCTTACCTGCTTCTGAACTCCACCTGACTACTACACCACCCATCCTTAGTGTTTCCTTAAGTCTAACACCAAATAACCTTTGACCTGTTCAAGCATATCTATAGTTATTATTGATAACCTAGTTCATACCAATTCTATTCTTTCCATTATATCAATTGTTTCATACTATTTCTTACCTCAATCTTAAATCATAGCACATATTTGGTTGTATGCAGCTTGCGGGTAACCACGAAATATAATGCAGTCACGTTATTCTGCATCAATATTTGTTTTGACTTTATTTAGACTATAATTATATATAATTACATGATTTATAACGTAAAACACTGAGTATGGTTGCTATATTTATATTTAAACAATTCATCAGATGAATGAACATGGCAGTAGGCAATATAACACAGTTGTTGTAAACTTGTAAACCGGTTTTCCACACGATCTTCCATAGTCATAAATTCCATAAGCTTCATACTATTCTGAAAAACAAACAATCAGTTTTGAGACAAACAATTAAACTTTGTTATCAGTATCACATTCAATACGTTAATCAAATAGCAGGTAACGGAATGTACCTATGAATTTGTGATTTAGCTTTGATTGCTCGTTCATTTTTCGTCACGTATTTTGCATGAATTACTTTGGACTTATGCCAAGTCAGTCTGTAATGGAATAGGAATTCAAGAATTAATTCATTATTAGTTGTTATTTGATTTTAGGGTTGTGTCGTATCAAGAACTGGGAGCTTCAAATCCCCATCATTTAACTGCGATCGCTTCACAGTCTTATGACATTTATTTGTACCAAGTTTATGATATAAATGAAATGTTGATGGTTTCATAGCTCGTATTGCCTTAAAACTCTGATTTCAGCATATTTATGACTTCACTAGCAGGTAACAAATAAATTATAGGTTTCTTATGTCATGTAAACAGCGCTCTTAATTTTTTAACTCTTCTAGTATTTCACCTAGATATTTGGTATTAACAAAAAATTTGGTGAGCACAATTTAGATATCACTCGACAATATGCATTATAACTGTTCATAATTCGGTCAGTGATTGCAGATTCTGTTTACAAAAACTTATTCGTGAACCCTTTAAGAGACAAATCATAAATCAGTATTAACTATGACATTGTTTTGTCACCATGCTCAAAAGAAACACGTATCGTTTTACTTATGAAGACATTGTGACTACTTAATGTGGCACTTCCAGTGGTGTTATACATTGTTACTGTGTATGTTCAGAAAGCGGATGGAAAAGACTATCAACGTCAATTTCACCCATATAATTCTTCTCAGGCACGTTACAAAATAATATGTCACTTCAGTACAAAAAGATGATACTTACAATGAATATAACTGTTTATGGCCAAACATTAGCTAGTTATATAATATTCATAAATAGTTTAACGCTTAATTGCTTCAACCTACATTTTATAAACAACTACCAACATCCATGTTCATCATGACCATAATCAAGGAGGTGAACCAGATGTAATATGTTTTAAAGCTTATTTTCATGAAAGCTCAGATTGTGATATATTTTTTGACTTGAAAAATGGTGAATTTTACTTGCTTTAGTTTGTATTGCTACAAATAACCATATTTGGCTTACTGAAGTTTCACCTAGGTGGTGGGCAACAAGTACGTCAAACTGCAAATAAATTGGAATAAAAACTATGTAACAAGCACAAACATTACGAAAATTGACGTGTGATGGAAAAAGACTGTTAAAGGTGATAAATAACGGCACAAAAAATCCACGACAATATGTAACATGTGTGCGAAAACCCTGGCTTACCCTAATGCCCGTGCCCATACGAAACTATGTGCTACAAAGCAGTCTGTTCCGCTAGTGGTCCCCGAAATCCGTAAGCAAATTACAGTTGTCGAGATCTGCGCTCTCCATTAGCTAAGTCACAAAAGGCATTGCTGGGCGGAATACAAACGAACTGGTAGCAACTATGTATACTGGCAATCAAAACACATATGGTATATATGCACAAAGACAATAAAAGAAAGGCTCCAGTACCAGATGAAGCTTGTCGATAAATTTGTCTCCAATCGGAAAACCATATTCCGTCAATATAGCCTCTCCTCGACAAGCCAAAACTAGAGTTTCCCAACTGATAGGTCCTAGTAGCCCGACCAACAACGATGGTGACGTCGATAACCTCCTCACAGAACAGTACTCTCGAATATTTCAACAGACCCACACGAACTATATTGATGAAAGCTTCAGTTGCAACTGCATAAGTCTTTCTGAAGTGAACCTGAGCGCTGACGTGGTGTACCGGAATCTGCAGCACCTAAGAAAAGACAGTTCTCCCGGTCCGGATATGGTTCATCCTGCTATATAGACCATCTTCCACAACAGGTATCGTCAGGTTTATTACGTTTCGTTGATGACATGAAACTTTGGAGAGAGATACGCAACCAAGACGATACACAAGCACTTCAGGAGGATCTGACTCGACTTCAAAGTTGGGCAGATGATAACGGACTTACCTTTAACACTTCAAAGTGTAAAGTAGTCCATCTGTGACATGTTGCAGACTACAGTTATAACTTATGAAACTCCTCTTTAGTAGTATCCCGAGTTGAAAAAGTTTTAGGAGTCCTGGTGCCCCATGATTTAAAGTCTTACGCTAATTGTGACAAAAATGCCTTCCGAGCAAACCTTGCACTGGTAACATTGAAGCGCATTTTTGGCCAGTTTGACGGTAGAACTTTACACACAATCTTCAATGGTTTTATCCGTCCCCATTTAGAGTATGGAAACACAGTATTTCCTCCCACACTCCAAAAGGATAAGGACACCCTGAAACGTATCCAACGGCCAGCCATGAAATCAGTTCGAGGACTCAAATTTAAACCTTACGAAGAGCGCCTCCAATCACTTAACCTTTACCTATTACGGTACAGACATCTTAGAGGTGATTTATTAATGGCTTATAGTATTCTTAACACTTCTGGACATCCTCTTAAACACCTACTCAAGCTTAGTTCGAATACTAACATAAGGGGTAACACCCAGAAACTGGAAACTCAACATAGCAAGACGGGATGTAGACACAACTTCTACTCCTTAAGAGTTATCAAAAGCTGGAATTCGCTGCCGGCCGAGCTAGTTCAAGCGACTTCTCAGGAGTCCTTCAAGAGGCAACTTGACCTATTCTTAAGGACCAAGGACAGTATCATACTATGATTTACCAATTTCTTTTCCTAATTTATTGTTAACATACCTAGGTTCCTGCCTGGAGGATTTGGTGATCCCCTGCTACTAAACACGGAAGCCTGTTAAGCGAAAGCTTCTTCTATTCCGTCCACAACCATTTGAACCATTTGAATCCTAAATACTTCTGGATATCCCCTTAAACATTTACGTTAGCTTAGTCCCAACACTAACCTTGAGGTAACACATAGAGCCTGGAGACACAATTAAGCAGAACGGACCGCAGAAACAACCTCCACTCTCTAATAGTAATCAAATGCTAGAACTCGCTGTCAGCCGAGCTAGTTCAAGTGACTTCTTACCATGGTTTATTAACTTTTTACTTTTTCTTTTTTAACCGATAATATACCGAGGCTCCTGACTAAGGGTATTATTGGTTCCCTGCTGCTAGATATGGAAGCCTTTTATGCAAAAACTCCTTCTATTCCGTTCAGAAACATTTGGACTAGCCTGTTGTAAAGATATTGTGTATTGGATGACCTTGACTTGGATTTGAAGTAGTTTTTACACGATGTTGTGTAGTGCCTCGCATCGCTCCAGGTCCCATTTTAACTAGTCCTGAACGCATTGGAAAAATCATTATTGTCAACCGTCTTTAAGTAAGCCTTTGAATTCTTGATTTGTAAGATTTCGAGTTGATTTTTATTTAACTGGTAAATATCTAATTTCTTTGTTTGTTCTTGTTAGCATGAAACAGACATCAAACTCAATTTCAGTTGTAAAACATTTAAGTTCCTTTTTGGATCATTGCTCGGGTTATAAGTATGATTTTAATAAGGTGCAATTACAAATATTTGCTCACGTTTAAACGATATACCACAAGCGCTATTAGAAAATGCTTCAAACGTGGCTGACACACAACCAAAAGTCATATTCTGCGCATGGGAAGACGCTTTTTTCAGCCGTACTTTCAAAGTTAACTTTTAAAACTTATTTTTGGCAGGTCTGACAGTAGCCAAGTGGATGGATTGATTTCGCGCTAAAATTAAAAGACTTGTCGTAAATCTGATTATTTCATCCATATATTATAGTCTCGCCTGGAGCGCAAATAAAACTATACGCAATATTTACGAGAATGAATACGTTCATGTCGTTATTACAAGCCGGAAGTGTTTTGTGCCACAATTTCGAAGTGACATCATGAAGAAGGTTCTTGAATTAGTTTGGTTACTTCTAACGATTGTAGGGCGAGACTCTAATTTAGCGACGACCTTTGAACGAATCCTAAATGACCTTGACAATTTTCAGCCAAACAGAAGACAGTTAGTATAACGTGAAAATATATTGTAAGTAATGAATTACAGTGAATATTCTTCTTTTACATGATTTAAAAACTTGTTAAGGTTTGATAAAGGTTCAGAGGTTCTGAATTCATAATGCATATGGTATACAAACTCGTCCATAGGGTTAGGGTTAAGGTTAGGGTGCTTACATGTGATCAGTTTACAACGGGTTTTAGAGGTTAGGTTTAGGTTTAGAGGTTAGGTTTAGGGTTGGGGTTGTAGCCTCTCACTAAACACCACTTCTCTAGAATCCGATGTAAACCGATCGCATGTTAGCACCCTAACCTAAAACCTAACCCTATGGACGAGTTTCTATACCATATGCATTATGACTTCAGAACTTCTGAGCCTTTATCAAACATTAACAAGTTTTTAAATCACGTAAAAGAAGAATATTTACCGTAATTCATTATTTTCTTGTAATATGTTTTTACTTTATACTGTCTTCTGATTGGCTAATAATTGAAATTGCTCAAACGCTTCTGATTGACTCGTCCCTAAATTAGAGTCTCGCCGTCTCATCTGTTGTAACCTCTCATTAATCACCTCCACTCTAATATCCGCTGTGAACCGATCTTATGTTAGCATCGCGCGTTGAACTTGTCTCCGTGACCCTGGAATTGCTCAAACGCTTCTGATTGGCTCGTCGCTAAATTAGAGTCTCGCTGATTGTAGATTATTTGCCCATGTTAACCTAGAGGAAGTGTGGATGAGTGCTTATGTCAATCCAAATACAACCAAACGTGTATTCAAATCATACTTTACCTACTCAGGTTTATTTAGTCGGAACGACGCACTATCACTTGTGTAAGTGTGGCTCAAAGCAATTTATATGACTATACCCGGTTACTGGTCTACATCAATTAATCCTGTTATTTATTTAAACACAAATATTGCTACAAAAGGAGCACCGAATACATATGCTTCACATAAGTTACTTGATTTGTGTGTAGGCTGTAATACTACTCGTGTGCTCAAACCGAAGCAGATGATTTTTGTTGAGGGATCACACCCAGAGCCTTCCACTTAAGGGTCTGACCCAAAAGGCAGTGGGGCGACGTGAGGGGATGCAGTCCTATTGTGGCCGGTGGCTAACAATAGGTTCATACTCCATTTATCTCAGGATCCCGGAGCTTATATGCACCGTTGGTTTTGGACCTGGGTTTTCGAGAGGGAGATCGGACTCGTCCTACCATTGGCCTTATCAGGGTGTTTGCGGACCAACTTACCCTATAATGTACACTGAAGTGTCCTAGAGTAGATAGTGGTTAGATATCTGTTATGACTTCCCAAATACTGTAGTCAATGATCCACAGCTTGATTAAGAGATTTTTCATCTTTACCTATAACTCTACGCACTGGTTAGACCCCAGTCTTAATATACGGAACAACTTGTTCGAAGACTTGTGGTCAAATCCCAAAAACCTGTGCGTCTACTGTCTTTGTGGGCCGTATTTTACAACCAGAAAATGCAAGATCGATAGTTGTAAAGCAGTTTCGCATTGACGGGGAGTTAACTGGCTGCCTTCAACGTTCGCACACTAATGCAGGTCGGACAACAGATAGGGCTGGCTATGTCTTTGGAAAGTCTTAATATTGATGTTTGTTGTCTATCCGAGACCTGTATTCAACACTCTGGTGAAGTACTACAAATTCGCTCTCCATCTGTCGCTTCGAAAAGCTTGTTTTACGTGCGCTTATCCGGGGACCCTGTGACATCTTCGTCTGGTCTTGCTGGCGTTGGTGTCGCACTAAGCGCTAGAGCTGAGGCAGCACTAGTCGATTGGATCCCCATTAACAGTCGGTTATGTGCTGTTAGATTAGAAGGTTCCATGAAAGTGAGAAGAAATCGGCGTGAGAAACGATGTCTTTTCGTCATCGCCTATGCGCCGACAGATTGCAGCCCGAATGCAATCAAGGATGAGTTTTACCTCCAGTTAACTGTTCTTCTCCAGAAAGTGAGTTCCACAGATATTGTAGTACTAGCCGGAGACTTGAATGCTCAGGTCGGGCGTCTAGGCACAGAAGAGAGTCGTTTAGGTGGTCGATGGAGACTTGTTGGTCGCAGGACAGATAACGGAGACCGTCTACTGCAACTTTGCACAGACCACAACCTGTTTCTGGCTAGCACTAACTTTCGGCAAAGTCATCGCCGATGTGCCACCCGGCGTCCTCCCTCTTCATCTCAAGCCTGGACTCAGATTGATCACATCGCTATCAGCTACCGCTGGTGTGGTTGTGTACAACATTGCCGCTCCTTTTGGAGTACCTATCTGGACTCTGACCATACCTTGGTCTGCGCCAATCTTGCCTTACTTTTCAGTGGACAACGAAGTGACCGCCATCAACGGATTGATACCAGCAAGTTGGTTGCAACTTCTGTTGCTAGTAAGTATCGAACCGAGCTAGCTGCTGGCCTAGCTACCATTCCACCGAAAAGTATAGATGAGCATTGGTTGCAATTGCATGACGCCATGAAAATGGCAGGAACAGTCAGTTGTGGGTTTGCGAAACGTCCCGCTTTTAAGCAATGTGTTTCTTCTGGTTCCTTACAACTCATTGAAGCCCATCGGTCTACTCCTGGTGACCGTGAGTTTGACCATAAACGAAAGATGTTATGTAAGGAAATCGGGTAAAGCTTGCGTAAGGACCGAGAAGCCTGGTGGTCGGAGCGTGCTAATGAGCTGGAAGCAGCAGCTGCATCTGGTAACTACTGGAAGCTCTTCCAACTCATCCGAGTCACTGGCAGCAAGAAGTCTGGTGTGAGTGAAACAATCTGCGAGGATGATGGGATGCCAATCACTAACATCCATCGACGTCTTGGACGATGAGCAGAATTCTTCGAAGGGTAGTTCAACTGGCCTGCTGCTCCGGCAACATCAGTCAGACTGTCCTGCCCTCCATGGACGGTGACTACTGATCCATCAAATGAGGCGGAAGTCCGCAAGGAACTCCAACTCTTGAAGCGTTACAAATCACCTGGTCCAGATGATTTACCTCCGGCTCTTTTTAAAGACGATGGTGACTTTTTGACTAAGGAATTGACGACGTTGTTTACAAGGGTTTGGGAACCAGAGAGTGTACCAACGTCATGGAATGAGTCGATAGTTGTTCACGTCGCTCCTGTAACAACTATCGGGGGATAAGTCTACTTCCGATTGCGTCCAAGCTATTGGCTTCCGTCATACTTCGTAGGTTGTTCGAAACCCGAGAAAGATTGACTCGCGAGGAGCAGGCTGAGTTTCGTTCTGGTCGAGGATAATCATAGTTTTTCTTAACTTGGGAGCAGCATTTGACTCGGTAGACCGCGAGATTCTGTGGCAGTGTCTGTCATTGAAAGGCGTATCTCAGAATTACATAAACCTTGTGATGGCTGTTTACTCGAACACTACCAGTCGAGTGAGAGCTTATGGCGAACTGTCATGTGATTTCGTAACCTCAAGTGGTGTATTGCAAGGCTGTCAACGTTCTCCATTTTTGTTTAACTTCATCATAGACCTACTGATGAGAATAACATTCTCGTCGACTGAATTTTCGGGAATTGATCTCCTACCAGTAGGTCCACTTGTCAACTTAGAAGCAGAGTCTTTTGGTAGCATTGATCAGCAATGCGAAAATGTTTGGAATGCGCTTCTTTCCCTCTAAATGCAAGTTGTTGCTTCAGGACTGGTCTGCGTCAACACCTGAACTGAGGATAGGGATTAAAGTAGTTGAGCGTGTCGACAACTTCACTTATCTTGGAAGTCTGATCAGCCCTAATGAGTAGGTGTCAGGCGAAATCTCTGCACGGATTCGAAAAGCTCGTTTAGCTCTTCACCTATAGCAAAGGCGAAATATCGGTCTATCAATTAATGAACGAGTATACGGCGCGGCAGTTCATTCTGTTCTACTTTACGGATGCGAAACATGGCCATTAAGAGTAGAAGATACTCGTAAGCTACTAGTATTTGATTACAAATGTATTGGAAATATCTCTGGTATCTGCTGGGACCACCGGGTGGTAAGTAATAGTGAGGTTAGACGCAGGGTATTAGAGAATGATGGTAAATCAGTTGATGAGGTTGTGAATCTTCATCGACTGTGATGGTTGGGCCACGTGTTGCGTATGCGTGAAGACCGATTACCACGACGCGCAATGCTGACTAGTGTTGGAGGTAGTTTGAAGAAACTTAGGGTTGGTCAAACCAAAACGTGATATCAGTGCTTGAAGACACTAACTTCTAGTCTGATCCATGTTGGGAGATGCAGATTACTTGGTTGGGGTTTATGTGACTATCGTAACCAATAGTTGGAGACTCTTGGTGACATGTCTCAGAATCGATTCCAATGACGTCGGTGTATACACTCTCTGTCTTCTTCCCCTAAACTAAGAGGTTAAAATCGCTTTATATGTCTTTTCACGAATTACTTCTTTCTTCCTGCACTATATCCTTATACTCAATCTTTCTTTTGTATATTACCACCATTGAAGTGACTACTGCTATGAATCCGTTGTTCATTTTGTTGTGCTAATGAGGTGTGGCAACTTGAACCGACGTATATATGTGTCTGGTCTTACTTTGTAGCTAAGTGACCGAAAAATATTGGAAAACTTTATATGAGGCAAGAAACCTCCATTGTACTAAATTAACATTAAGTCATCAAAAGTAAAGTTTTTGGATTGCAAACAGTGAGAAACTTAATACCCTTAATGCTTCGTATCCAATTATTTCACTTTTACGTGATAACGATTGCTTTTAACGCAGTGGAACTTTAAAAATGACGATTGTCTGATGTTTCGGAACAGTAATTGGATACCTTATCTTTTAACTGTTTCCTAAACAAATGCAGGAAGATGTACAGAATTAGTTTAAAGTGGTTAAAAAGGAAAAGGTCTTTATATAACGAGATTTCGTTTCTAGTAGCAATTAACCAATGATGCCTCCAGGTAGGAATTGATGAGAATATAATTTGTGGAAAAACCAATCAGATGTAAAATAACAGGTCATAGATTTTGGCGCAAAATTCATTCATCCATTTGGTCAAATAGCGTTTTGTCATTTTAGCTGAGGTCAGTTTGTGATGAAAACCCTAAATATAATTGTTAACCATAACCACGAACTGTAAATCATTATTCTAATTCCTTACACTACTTTATAACCCTCATTATGTCCTAATGGGTGGGCATCCTCAAGGTCACTTCAGCATTGCTTAAAGGTCGTCCACGAATTATAGTCTCACCATAGTTTTGATTTATTTGCTTTTCATCCAGTCGATTGATTCTCACTGTACTGTCTTAAGGCAATCCATATTGGTACGTATCCCTATTTCTGTGTGTCCTATCGGAAGTGAATTAAGAGGTTCGAAAATCAATGTTTGCAATGAAGACTAAAGATTTTGGTTGCGATGTGTAATAAAGTTCGGATTGCCTATTGCTAAGTAACAGATTCATTGCAAAAAGCGACTTATTATCCATAAAAATATTTGGTATATATATAAATCAAATACGTTCATAAAAGCAGTCTTATTTTGCTATCTTTTGTATTCCACAGTGAACATTGTTGCCTCAAGAAGTGAAATTCAGCACATCCAAATCTTAATTCGTGTACCTCTGAAAGACGTAAATCTATAATGTTTGCCATAAAAGTTTAAGATTACTATTTAACTGACGGGTTGAAATGCACAATTCATCTTCAAATAATCGGAAACCCATACGTGTATGGGTCGATGGATGGTAATCGTATTTTATTTATTTTGAAATAAAAGTGAAATATTTCTCTAAAGTTTCGACCTAGTTCATTTTGGACATGCCAATGCTCTTCGTCAGGCTAAATCGCTCGGTGATCAACTTATTGTTGGAATTCACTCTGACAGTGAGTTTGCATACTTTTATTTGTTTTATAGTTAATTCTTAACTTTATCATTAATTTATTAGAAGAAATCACTAAACATAAAGGACCACCAGTTTTCTATGAAAAAGAACGTTATCGGTTGATCAGAGCTATGAAATGGGTCGATGAAGTAAGTAAAACTTATTACTTAAGTATTTTTCTATGAAAACTCATATTAGAGTTAGTGATAACATAGAACTGAACATAAATTTATAGGTCCAAGTTATGAAATCTTGTGTTATCACAACCAAATATTGAAAAGGATAGGATAGAAAATAATACCAACTGTAATGGAATACTAAGCATGAGAAGTATGGTTTTGAAGAAATAAATGAGGTTCAGAACTGGAAACTGTGTGATGATACTAAGAATCAGTTGTAAACTAAATAATTCTGTGCCACTGCAACCGGTTATATACTTAATCTGTCTCCACTCATAGATTATAGATATTTCTTGGGCTTCAAATAAGAAGTCTGCATCTAACAACATGGCTCAGCTCAACGGTCAGTCTTATTGATGTTGCGGAATCATACATAGTAGTGTGCATCATCTTGTAAACCATTCTAGGTAATAAATGTGTATCTGTGGTTGTAGGTTATCAGTAGACGGTCTTTGACATTTTGCAAATTTTATATTCTCTAGATTTTAATAATGAAATCAGAAAAAGTAGCTCAATAGTTTTTGTTACCAAATGACTCATGTTTAAATCCCACGAAAATCAGAAGTTTCTCTAGGGTTGTAGTCGAACTCGTGTTGTAGTGGTGAAGGATATGAGCTCGAAAATTGTTTCCCTTACTATGATAATCATAAATTAGGTAACAGAATTACGTACTTTGATTGGCTAAATTTGTTCATTATAAACTTTGAGAACTTTGTCTAGATTATCATTCGGTAAATAATTTGTGTTCATAAAAATTGTACTTATTAACATTCTCTCTACTCATCGTAAAACTGTTTTAGTTATAAATACTTAGAGTTTCTATCGATGTAGATAAAAATTAAAGGAATATTGTACATTATTCATAACAGTTCAAGACTCATATACTAACCCCCGATGGCTAACAATACTATCTAGTTACATAGGATGACATATAAGGTGTTTATTGTAATAATGAAGGTTGAGTGAATAAATTAGTAAGCCAGCCAACAATAAGCAGAGTAAAACCTAGGACGAATGTGCACAAATTAATAAACTAGAATTCATACCTGTCCGTGACCATGTCTTCTTGAACAATACTGTTGTACTGTTTCTCTGGCGCTTGATAGTAGATTTAGCTACACAAATCATTCATGTATGTTGGAGTGATAAACTTTCTATTGTTTTGACTTGAAAGGTTAGACGGTGTTTTGGAACTTTCATATAGTACCACGTTTTTAATTTAATGGGATTAAACTGATTATAATAACATGCATAGATTCATTAGGATATACTTATATTGATTACTAGTGATTTTATGGAATTCATAAACTACCAAGTGTTTTCTCTTTGACCATATTTCATCAAAATATTTTACTTGTAATGAAGGTTCATTTTATGAGTTCTATCAGTTTTAATTTAACCTTAAGCACTCAAAAATTGTCTAGTTTTACACATAATAGTTCCAAGTACCTTTTGAGTACTTATTCAAATTTATTGTCTAGTTGATTTAAACGTAGCAAATTTAACTTGTTAATCAGCTGTTATTCGATCTTGTTCCCTCATAGGTAGTAGAAGATGCACCATACTTTACCTATGTGAAAACGTTAGAAAAATATTCTTGTGATTTTTGTGTACATGGAGGTATGTTGTATTAGTTTAATGAGTTGTTTTGAATTTAAAATAAATTGACTACTAATTGATGTTCTCTTGACGAAACTTATGATTGAAAATAAGTTATGATCAGTTGAGAAAAGGATTAATGAAACCCAACATTATGGGCGCTTTTAGTCAGTAGTACCGTAATTTTTTCTATCATGAAGCCTGTTCTGAATATATTCCAGATATTTCAGGACTGTACATTGTTTGATTGTTGTCGGTGGTTCCTTCAGTGGTAAAGACCGCACAAATTATTAGTGTCTTGAAATTTACATTCTTGTTTGTTTTTATTTTTCATTAGGGGTTTATATCATGCCTGTAACTTCAACACTTCTACTTTACCTAACTAATTCACTAGTGTGTATCAGAGGTTATGTCATTGGAATAAGACCACGCCGGATCAAAATGATATAAATCTTCATTATTCTCTCAGTTTTGATTGGTTGACCTTCGACCAACACAAAATTCCATATATTGAAGTCGAATTTGTCTGTTCTGGATATTCGTAAATGTTTTTTCACAGTAATAGAAAAGTGTTCATATGTATAGAGTCATCATATAATTCGCGTTTATCGGTTTTTATGGTGAAAATGAACTTTCAGTCATAAGAATTTCCACAAACTTTGTAAGCAGAGTTGAATCTAAACAACCAATACAGATGGTTTTCTACAAACTGTCTGATAGAATGTTCAAGTGTGTTTTAATCTATAAATTAAGAATAAGCTGGAGATAGTTGAATTTTATGTCTAAACACATTGACGTTAATTTTTTTCAGTGTTCTGTTTTCTTATCCATAGTTTATTTCAACTACTGTTCCATACTGGAAAGATATTGATTTGATAGGTTGTAATTATTCAAAATTTATGTTCAAATCTCTTGTGAATATATGTTGCGCAAAGTTTCTTGGAACTATTCACTGTATCAGGTCTAAACAGGTTCAGTGGGTCTTGAGAATTCAATACTAAGATTGCTAATTTGAGCAAACAAATTTATCCACTTATCATGCTCTGTTGTAAATTCCACACTTAGATAAACTATGATCGAGAATATAATAGTGAACGGATTTTTTATATATGCTCACCCATTTTTTAGCCTGTAGACTCAAAGTGTATATCTGTCAACCATAACAAAGAGTCGTTTAGTATTTCTTGTTGGAAATTCCTCTGGTCAACATGACAGTTTAAGCACGAGGTTTCTTTGGTTCTGTTGTTTGCGCCATTACTTATAAATAACTTGAAGAAGCATCAGTAAGAGAATAATTTCTCATTTTAAAAGGATTTAGTGGAGAAAATTTTTTTTCGACGAAATCATTTGCTTAAGCTGTATGTTCGTATTTATGATTGTTTGATAAATATTGAAGTCTATAGAAAGATAAAAGAGATTGCATCATAAAATGATTCGAGATTTCAAATATCAATAGTAGGTTGCTTAATGGTCAGGATATTGAGTAATTATGAAAAAAAATTGTTAGAGGACAATAATAACTAATCACATTCTGAAAAGTACAAAATAATGATAAAAATAAAACAAAGCCAAAACGCGGGGGAAGTAAGTTAGGGCCACAGAAGGATGAGAAGTTGGACGTATCGTTTTTGCAGGCAGAATTTGGGGTTGAAATGATTGATCGCCAACGCCTCAGCAGTGGAAAGGTTTTTAATTCACTGAGTTCTCTTTATTCTTAGTCAATAACACTGCGTTACTTTATTTTTAAAGAATTGTCGAATTGCGCTTTTGAGATCATATTGCATTTGAGCTATTATATTTCTGCTTAGTCTTGATTAATCCACAACATTCATGAAACCTCCTAAGGAATTTCTGGTGTATTTTGGAAGTATTAAAGCTCATTACTATCAATTATAAATTTATTTCCTGTTAACCATGAATACGTCAATGTTATTAGCTACAGGCAAAATTAATATTATTTCCCTTTTGTGTCATTCATGGTCATAATCAAATAAGTAAACAAACAAATTCCACTGTTCTCAATTCCTTTCACCATGACCAAACCTGACCTTCATGAGGCCTATTTTTACTTAAACAATAATCTATGAATACTTTCATCGTTTTGTAAATATAAGTGTTACGTATTTTTCATTACTGTATGGTATATATTATTTTCTTAACGTATTAATGTTTCACTTCCTAGTTCTGTGTGGGCAACCGGGAAGTGATAACCGCCCTCACACCTCTAACAGCACTCAAGACCACTGTATTCATAATCAACCTCCCTCTTCAATTCCTATTATTCCTTCTACATCGACTTTCACCTCTAAATTTCCTCTTTCGGCTTCCTCCTCAAGTGTCACCATAGCCAATGATTTTAGTGCGCAAAACACTGTCCCAAGTCTACTGAAACCTCGTTCCAAACTACACATTGGAGCCTTCAACGTACCAACCCTAAGTCAAATCAGTCAGCAGGCTTCCTTGGCTAAAACCCTAGAGTCTCTTACCATTGATGTGTGCTGTGTCTCCGAAACACGCATACAGGATTCCAGTGTGGTTATTCACTTGACCTCACCTCGGCGAAACGGAGAGCCAACGAGATACACCCTCCGTGTATATGGCGACCCGATGGCCAGTTCTCGTGGACTGGCAGGTGTAGGCATAGCACTAAGCATGAGGACCGAACAAGCACTGCTAGAGTGGATCCCCGTCAACAGTCGTCTATGTGCTGTTCGGCTAAACGGCTACGTAAGAACTCGGAAGGATAGGGACACACGTCGTTGCCTTTTTGTCGTTTCTGCCTACGCTCCCACTGATTGCAGCTCAGATGAAGTGAAAGATGAATTTTACAGAAAGCTGTCCGAACTTCTTCAGAAAGCTAAACACTCAGACATATTACTCGTAGGGGGTGACTTTCATGCTCAGATAGGTAGTTTAAACCAAACAGAAAGGCATTTAGGTGGATACTTTAGTACTCCGACACAGCGAACAGATAATGGCGATCGTCTGCTGCAACTATGCTCAGACAATCGTTTATTTTTAGCAAACACAAATTTTAAGCATAAGGAGAGACATCGTCTAACATGGCGATCTCCTACACCAAACCAACGATGGACTCAAATAGACCATATTGCCATCAGTCATCGTTGGAGAGGGTCGGTAGAAGATTGTCGCTCATTCTAGAGTATCTGTTTGGACTCCAACCACGCCCTAATACGGGCACGCATCTGCTTGCGCCTAACTGGACGTAAAAGACCCGTTAGAACTAGGTTGAGTGACGAGAAAACCAAAAGTAAACTCCAGGAACAACTGAGGTCAAACTTAGGTAGTTCTGAAGACGAGGCTGACCCAGAGGTCGCTTGGAAAGGCATACAATCAGCTGTGGAAACAGCAGTGACATCTATTAGTGACTTAAATCACAGAGTTACAAAGAACCAGTGGATTTCTTCAAGGTCTATCACACTGATGGATTCTCGCAAACTCATCCCATCAGGTTCTGAACATGATGAAGAGCGACAACAAATCAGATCTAGGTTAAGAAAAAGTCTAAGAAACGACCGTGAGCAGTGGTGGGTAACGAAAGCAAAAGAGATGGAAAAGGCGACGACTATAGGGAACACAAGACAGCTTTAAAGACTAATAAAAGAAACTGGAATTAATAAGTTACGTGTAAGTAAGATTATTTCGGAAAAGGACGATACTCTCATCTACTCCCAGTCCAGACGTTTAGAACGATGGGCGGAACTTCATCATAGACCTACTGATGGAAATAAAATTCTCGTCGACTGAATTCTCAGGTATTGATCTCCTTCCAGGAGGTCCACTTATCGACTTAGAATACGCAGATGATATAGTCCTGTTCGGTGAAGACGCTGCTAAAATGCAGTCTTTTGGTAGCACTAAGCATTAGTGCCAGAATGTTTGGAATGCGCTTCTCTCCCTCTAAATGCAAGTTGTTGCTTCAGGACTGGTCTGCGTCAACACCTGAACTAAGGATAGGGAGTGAAGTGGTCGAACGCGTCGACAACTCCACTTATCTTGGAAGTCTGATTAGCCCTAATGGGCTGGTATCGGACGAAATCTCTGCATGGATTCGAAAAGCTCGTTTGGCTTTTGCAAACTTTCGTCACCTATGGCAAAGGCGAAATATCGGTCTATCAATTAAAGAACGAGTATACGGCGCGGCATTTCATTCTGTTTTACTTTACGGATGCGAAACATGGCCATTAAGAGTAGAAGATACTCGTAAGCTACTAGTATTTGATTACAAATGTATTGGAAATATCTCTGGTATCTGCTGGGACCACCGGGTGGTAAGTAATAGTGAGGTTAGACGCAGGGTATTAGAGAATGATGGTAAATCAGTTGATGAGGTTGTGAATCTTCATCGACTGTGATGGTTGGGCCACGTGTTGCGTATGCGTGAAGACCGATTACCACGACGTGCAATGCTAACGGGTGTTAGAGATGGTTTGAAGAGAATTAGGGGCGGCCAAACCAAAACGTGACATCAGTGCTTGAAGACACTAACTTCTAGTCTGATCCATGTTGGGAGATGCAGACTACTTGGTTGGAGTCCGCGTGACTATCGTAACCAATGGTTGGAGACTCTTGGTGACATGTCTCAGAATCTATCACAATGGCGTCGGTGCATACACTCTCTGTCTTCCCTTAAACTAAGAGATTAAAATTACTTCATATCTTTCTTTCTACGAACTAATTCTATATTCCGGTTTTGTATCCTTATATGCAATCTTTCTCCTATATATTACCACCTTTAACCTAACCACTCCCATGAATCCGGTGTTCATCTTGCTGTGCTAACGAGGTATGGCAACCTGGACCGATGTATATATGTGCCTGGCCCTACGTTGTAGCTGATTGACTGACTGACTAATTGATATAATCCATTTTGAAATTATGTAGTGTATTAAAGACTAAGTTGTACCCTTAACTGTAGCGTCATATATGACTACACAACCATTAAAGGAAAATGCTCGGATAGGACATTTGCGGGCAAAGTGAACCTTATTCAGATTTTCATTAGATATTTAAAGTTTTTCAATCACAAACATATGAGTTGGCATTAATATCAACTGGCCCAAGCTGACACATTTCGAATCAGTGTGACAAAAGGAAAGGAAAAAGAATGAAAATAATAGTAGCATCACTGATATTAACGTCTAAATATAGAAGATATAATTAAAGAAATCTAATAAGGTTTGAAAATAAAAAGTACAGAATGATATTGAGGAAAAGAGAAAATGAATATATCTGTATAATTAAAACTAAATTTGAACCATATTGCCTAAATTCTCCAGCCACATCTTATAACTAGCTCTTAGATCATATTTATTTATTTATTTTAACACAAAGATGCTTCAAATACATATGCGCCACACAAATCTCATTTGATGTGTGTGAGGGCTGTGATACTGCCCAGGTGCCCAAAACGAAGCAGGTCGTTTACTTAGGGGGCCACACCCCGAGCCTTCGACCTGAAGGTCTGATCCACAAGGCAGTGGAGCATCGTAAGGAGATGCAGTTTCATGGTAACCGGTGACCGACAATTGGTTCATGCGCCATTTGTTCCTTTAGGATACTGGAGCCCATGTTCACCATTGGTTTGGAATGAGGGTTTTCCAACTCCCGTAGATGAACTCTCCATGTCCACCAGCCCGGTTAAAGCTCCGGACATTCACTTTTCGTCCTCTCAATTTCGTACACAACACCCCCGCCACAAGAAGGTAGTGAGTAGAACTTCATATCTAGAAGTATCATACTTCCCAATACGGCTCGGTCCACTCCCAGGGAAGTCCTACCCACTAACTGCTCACTGCAGGTGTTGTTTACGAAATTGAGAGGACAAAAAGCGAATGTTCAGCGCTTCAACCCGGTTGACAGGTACGGAGCATCCATCTTGGGGAGTTGGAAGACCCTGATCCTGAACCAATGGTGCACATGAGCTCCAGAACTCTGAGGGATCAAATGAAGTATGAACCTGTGCTTGGTCACCGGCTACCATGGGACCGTATCTCTTGACGTTGCTCCACTACTTTGTGGATTAGATCTCCCGGTCAAAGCTTGGGGAGTGGTCCTCTAAGAAAACCACTTGTTTTGGTTTGAATACCTGGCCAGTATCTCAACCCGCATACAAATTAAATGATTTCTATGACATATCTTGGTGCATCCTTGTACCAATGTTTATGTGTTCAAATGAAAAGGATCATAAATAAGGTGACTTCATATATTCGTTGGCAACATTTGCTGCACACACTCGATCTTGATTTCCTGTATGTCTGCAATTAAAAAAGAATTCTGATTCTCACATCCACCTTTTCTTTGTAATTGATGTATTGTGTCATGTCCTCTAATGTTTTTGGGTGGACTAAATTATAAATTTGCTTACCTTCAAAGTTTATGTTTAATCTATATAATTGTAGATGATCTGGTGGTATCCAACGATGGATCAGATCCTTATGCAGAAGTTAAAGCAACTAATCGATACAAGTGAGATTTATTACTAAAAGGTTGTACTACTCATTTTCTTAAGAAAATTCTGTAATACGTAGAGTGCAGAATCGTTTACTCGATTTTCAGACACATCTAGTAAAAGCGATGGCAAAATTACCCGACTGTTCGAAGTGAAGCATATTGAACAGGTTTCGAACCTCCTATCTTATCGTTAAAAGTCTAACACTCTTAGCATACGTCATAGCATCGTTCCTGTGGAAGTTCTGGACGCCATCTAGATCGTCATCTATAGGGAATGAAGATGTTCGAATTTGTAGCGACCACCATTATGTGGTTGTAGAGAACAAACCAAGCATCATATTTCTTATGTGATGCAAATATGATGTAAGTATCGATCTCTTCTAGTTGATTATACACTATTTTTAAGTTACTAATGAGAATGAATTTTACCGTCATCCCTCGTATAGTTGACCATAATATTTGAATATTGTTTGTAAATAAGGAAGAAAGAAACTTCAAAGCACATGACATCTAAGGTAAACTGTTTATAGAATTCACAGAAAGTGGAGCGTTGTAATACACTTCGTTTTTGCTAATGAATAATGTTAATTCTATGCACTATAATTATCACATTTCTAATATAACCACACTGTCTTGAGTGAATTTTATTCTGTATAATTCTATTTTAACTAGCGTTTTTTTATCTCTCAATGTCATTATAAAAGGTGATTTATAAACTATTTCATTTTGTTACAATTAGAGAAGTTAAACGAACTGAGGGTATATCTACTACAGCTTTAGTGTCAAGGTTAGTAATTGTCTGTCGTTATTGTTTCTGTGTACATTTGTGTAAATCATTAGTTGGATATTAAATAATGGTGCGATTTCATGTGTTCATAGAATTCGTTTATATATCGAGGTGTTTCGCATGTTTGTATTTGAAATAAATGAATGCTTTATATCATTTAACTTAGTAACAGTATTGAAGGATATTTTTAATATTTTAAAATGGATAAATCCATATAATTTCCAAATGACTCATTTTTGAATTAGTAAATAAAGTGATAAGACGGAATTCCTGTATCGTAAACTGACATCAGATGTGTTAGTATTGAATAATACTGTTTTGCATGTGTTGTTTGTGCAGATACTAAGCTGAAATGATTAAACGTAAGAAAAAAGAAGCAGAATACTGACACAAAAAATAGACCAAAACTATATCTGAATGCACTAGTATTTGTAGTTTATATTAATAGTTAAATTTCGAATAAACACAACTGAGTAACAGTTAGCACTTATTAGAAAAGTAATCACTGTATAAACGTAATTTACATACATCATAACATTCAGAATCCTACAATCAACATGTAGAACTGAACAGCTGTTTCTTGCGTAGATTGTGACTCGAAAATCAAATCTGAAGAAGCTTGTACTAGATCACCATGTGAAACGTTATTTAATTCCAATAGTTTAAATCACTTTATGTTCATTATCCCTGTTTTCCCATGCAAATATCTGTGTTTATATCATCAGTTTATTTTTATCCACATATAACTATTATTTATTATTATTATTATTATTATTATTATTATTATTATTATTATTATTATTATTATTATTATTATTATTATTATACATACAGAATGTTAAAACGTATACAACAATTACAAGATCAAGGTACTTATGCATCGCAGTTTAGTTCAAGTACAGAGTGTTCAATTCGACGAACACAATCATTAGATTCTGTATTAAAAAGTAAAGATAAGTTTATGCACCCTTGTAAGGTAAATGAGTGTTTTATAAGTTTCTCTTGATTATTATGGGATTTTGATACTCCTGAGTATACACACTGTTTTCAATCATAGCTAAAATTACAAGATAAATTACTGTAACTCAATAATTAAGTAAAAGGTTTTAAATTAAAGGGGTTACTGTGATGCATGCTACTTATATCTGTCGACGTAAGTAGTATGTAATGCCAATCAAATGTTGAATGGCTGGCAGCAGAAGGCTATGAAAATCGAGTTGAGGAGAAAAGAAGGGAAAATAGAAAGGAATTGTGAACTGGAGAAACCTTACAGAGTGTGAAGGATAAATGATGGAAATTTCCAAATGAAGTATTTAGTGTATGGTTCTCATAATTTATCAAGATATTCTGTAATTTTGTATTAAGATACATTGGTTGTTCACTAAGCTCAAAGTCAACTTTCTTTTAGTTAAAGCACTATAACAGTGATGCAGATCTAATCAATGTATTATTGTGAATAATTGTTAATTATTGTTTTATTGTCGTGTGCGACTTTCTAGAATAGATTTAAACAAACTATACTGTTTCCCATTCGACCCTCTTCAGGATTTACTGTAATATACAAAAGGATCACATAACTAAACGTAGCAAGTGGAAAGTATAATTTAGTAATAAGGTGACTAACATAGTAGTAAATAATAAACAGCATGATAGGAAATAGGTCAAACCTTGTAAAAATAAACGGATTAAAATAATAAACTACTTAATACGAAATTTGTTTGAATAAACATCTTAAATGTATAAATAATAAAGAGATATAAACGGAATAAAGATAAACAAACAAAAAATGGTGTCATGAATCGGTAAAATTCATTATTATTATTATTATTATTATTATTATTATTATTATTTAATACTATTAGAAATTTAAACTTTCCTAGTGATTAACGAACAAAACAAAATTGTTTTTGCTGACTTTTCGCTATTTAATTCTAGCCATCAAATCGGTAAAATTGTTTATTAAATCTTACCCGGCCATACACTTGAAAGTGATGTTACTAATGTGTTTTTACTAAGTAGGCTAATGTTGTTGGCTCGAATCCCTATATATAGGTTACGATATCGAACCTTATTAACAAGACTCGATGATATACAATAAATTACTCAGAAGGTATAGCATGTGTTGAAGGAATTCGGGAAACGTTTTTGTTTTGATTATGTAGCGATTTCTTCGTCATCTCGAGAATTTTCTCAATCTCTTTTATGCTTCCCTCTTACGTTGTTCATAACTCGCTGACTCATGTTTCTGAAATTTGGGGAAATTTGTAAAACCGGATTTGTTGATTTTTGAGAATTAACACGAAGAGACTTTGTCATAAAAAAGGCTTTACGTCTCAGTTAATAACATATGTTTAGTCATCTAAGCATTAATTTGTTCACATAAGTTCCCCTAATGAGATTTATTACTTATTTAGATCGATCAGTAGTAGGTTGTGACTTCTAGGTTTGAACACTGAATGTCATATAAATGTTTTCTTGAATTGTCGGCTGCTGTTAGGTAAGGGTAAAAGCAGAAATCCGGGTTTACGATTTCCTAATGATAATTTTAAAATCATGTAACTGGTCTACCAAACCGAAAGTTTATGCATTTAGTTTTTAAATTTTGATGTTTGCTTTATGGTTAGTAGTACTATCAAGTTGGCTAAACTGAAGCAGATAAAGTGGGATTCGAAGCTGCGACTCAATAGTCAAAGGTCGAGTGCTTTAACCAGCAAGATTTCGCTTGACATTCAAAATTGTATAGTACAACGAAACACTTGAAATTATCGGTACACATTTTTCCTTTAAAATCATTCTCTTCCTTGGTTTTTATTGTTTTATTTTGATTTCCAGACGAAGGAAACATTATCACCCATATATCCGGGCCTAAATTCAAATTGTTCTAAAGCTAATGATGTGACAGATTCAATTAATGTTTCAATTTGGTCTACTGGTGGTATGACATATATGCCGAATATCTTACGTATAAGTCAATTTTGTTCTGGTCAATTTCGTGAACCTAATAGTAATGACATTGTGGTATATGTACCGGGTACATTTGACCTATTCCGTATCCTTTATGTGTAATTGATATAATGGTGTAATTTAAATATTTTCTGTTTGCAACAATATGCTACGATAATACGACTGATGATCAAGATTATCCTACCACTTAATTGGACACTCGATCGATACGCTATACCCAGGCTGGATCACATTATTCCAGATACACTATTTACGATCAAATATAGAAAACTAGAGTTTAGACTAGACAATATTTTATTTCTCACAACTGCAAAACAGTTTACACTTAGAAGTCCAGAGTAGAAATTAGTAATAGAAGGAAAATCACATTAAATAGTTTGCGTCTGTTAGTCAACACTCAATGGCCAATCGCACCTTACTTTCATTACCACACAGCAATGAGCAACATAATTTTCCAAAATATTATGTAATCGGGTCAGGTATTTTCAGACTGTCTTCCTTTAATAGTGGCTGAATTTGCTACGAAAAAAACTTGGCTACTGTGATTAAATTTTCTAGAATTAGTTTCTCAATTACAGTGATAACTTATTATGTAATGAGCACAGCTTACTGGTAGTAGTATTCATAATCAACTACTAAGTTGTGCTCATTACATAATAAGTTATCATTGTAATTGAGAAACTAATACTAGAAAATTTAACCACAGAAACCACATATTCACCATTCGTCAAGTTCTAGAACACACGCATACTTATCGGCGTCCGACAATGGTGGTCATTCTTGACTTAAAAGCAACATTTAACTCCGTAGACCGCGAGATTCTGTGGCAGTGTCTGTCATTGAAAGGCGTATCTCAGAATTACATAAACCTTGTGATGGTTCTTTACTCGAACATTACCAGTCGAATGAGAGCTTATGGCGAACTGTCATGTGATTTCGTAACCTCAAGTGGTGTATTGCAAGGCTGTCCACTATCTCCATTTTTGTTCAACTTCATCATAGACCTACTGATGAGAATAACATTCTCGTCGACTGAATTTTCGGGAATTGATCTCCTACCAGTAGGTCCACTTGTCAACTTAGAAGCAGAGTCTTTTGGTAGCATTGAGCAGCAATGCGAAAATGTTTGGAATGCGCTTCTTTCCCTCTAAATGCAAGTTGTTGCTTCAGGACTGGTCTGCGTCAACACCTGAACTGAGGATAGGGATTAAAGTAGTTGAGCGTGTCGACAACTTCACTTATCTTGGAAGTCTGATCAGCCCTAATGAGTAGGTGTCAGGCGAAATCTGCACGGATTCGAAAAGCTCGTTTAGCTCTTCACCTATAGCAAAGGCGAAATATCGGTCTATCAATTAATGAACGAGTATACGGCGCGGCAGTTCATTCTGTTCTACTTTACGGATGCGAAACATGGCCATTAAGAGTAGAAGATACTCGTAAGCTACTAGTATTTGATTACAAATGTATTGGAAATATCTCTGGTATCTGCTGGGATCACCGGGTGGTAAGTAATAGTGAGGTTAGACGCAGGGTATTAGGAAATGATGGTAAATCAGTTGATGAGGTTGTGAATCTTCATCGACTGTGATGGTTGGGCCACGTGTTGCATATGCGTGAAGACCGATTACCACGACGCGCAATGCTGACTAGTGTTGGAGGTAGTTTGAAGAAACTTAGGGTTGGTCAAACCAAAACGTGATATCAGTGCTTGAAGACACTAACTTCTAGTCTGGTCCATGTTGGGAGATGCAGATTACTTGGTTGGGGTTTATGTGACTATCGTAACCAATGGTTGGAGACTCTTGGTGACATGTCTCAGAATCGATTCCAATGACGTCGGTGTATACACTCTCTGTCTTCTTCCCCTAAACTAAGAGGTTAAAATCGCTTTATATGTCTTTTCACGAATTACTTCTTTCTTCCTGCACTATATCCTTATACTCAATCTTTCTTTTGTATATTACCACCATTGAAGTGACTACTGCTATGAATCCGTTGTTCATTTTGTTGTGCTAATGAGGTGTGGCAACTTGAACCGACGTATATATGTGCCTGATCCTACGTTGTAGCTGACTCACTGACAACTTAGTTACTAGTTGAGTAATAAGTCCATTTTACAAGCCCGTTTTCTAAGAAAGTAAATGTCAGTGACAAAACGAATCGTATATGCTGTCAAAAGTATTCTAATGCTACTTAGTTCTAAGACATGATTTGACATTAGTAATACGTTGATTACTTCTGTGAATAAGTTACTGCTTAAACTTCACCACAAATGCAGAACATTTTCTTCTTACTAATATTACGAACGAACCAAGTGAGTTAACTCCATATTCTTTTACTGCTTTGATATATCCATTTTTAAAAGTAGAAAGAATGTGTAATTTTTTACTTCTGAGTTTCGGTGTGTCAGATTCAGCGATTTAAAAAGAAATTTCACAGGTTCAGATTTCTTAAATGTAAAAGTAAAATCTTCAGGTGTTAAAGGTTGCTTTTGAAATAAACTCAATAACAAATGTTCTTTTATGTCGTCTCGGTCCGTTGCATTGTACAACAATTTTTTTAATTATTCACACATAGTTGAAAATGAACGAAATTAACAATTGTAGCCGAATATCATATTTCTTTAACCTTCTAATGTATAACTATATTATGAAAAATAGACATTGGTCATTTGTCATTCCTGGAACAGTGTTTAAAACTTGGGAATTATCTGTTGGTTGGATTATACTCGGATAAAGTGAGTACAGACTTAGGTACTTAAACAATTTTTCAGTCATAGAAATATTAACTGGTATCATGTATATTTAACTTAGTTATACAATTGGTTCGTCTTAACCCACCACGTTAATTAATATAACTCTACAACCTAGTACACATTAGTATTCAAGGCTATGGCTCACATGGTGTATGAATTTGGTACAATATCCTGTTTCACAAACCAGATGAGTAGAGCGTGATGTAAATATCGTATCGTCTATTGGAAAATCGTTATTGAAACCCGTAATCCATCGCTCCTAATAAGCTCAGTAATAACACCGACTGTAATATTAACTAAGAAGAGTTCTATTCTTTTAAGATAGTTGAGTTTCTTTTAAATGACATATACAAACTGTTGATGAATACTGTGTTGTAGGCTACTTATGTTGACAGATATAAATGGTATGTACCGCCAATAGGAAGTGGAATACCGGCCAGCAGAAAATTGAGTTGAAGAAAACAGAAAGGAATAGGAATAACAATCGAATTTTAAGAATGAAGAAGTATATACAAGAAGACTGAAGAAAGATATGCAAATAATATATTTAATGCATGATTTCCGTACTTTAAGAAGACACTGTAATTTCGCATTAATTAATAAATTGGGTTTCTCCACCAAGTCTTTGTTTACTGCAATATCAAGAGATACCAAAACCATCTCTAGAGCTTTCTGATAATCATCTTTAATTATTTAAACACAAAATTATCATATAATCAATTTCGCTTGTCAATTGAGTAATTTTCTTGTGAAACCAATCTTCGAATCTCAACTAAGTGTGATTAAAGCTACCAAGCAACTGACTGTTTAAATATTTTAAGGTAATAAGATTTCCATTGATATTCAAAATGCTTAACCAAAATAAATTAATAGATAATAAATAATTAATGGAGCATGAAAATGAAGGTCATACAAAAGCCTATAATGCTTCAAGTCTACTCACCATATCACCAATCTCACTATACCTTTAATTGGGTCAGCTTTTTAAATGCTAACATAATTGATATTTTCACTGGATAAACGTACCACTGTTATTATTTTAATCATTTTTAATGTTTAGAAGTGACTTGTACATTTGAAGTGATCGATCATAATTAGTCCATTCGTTTTTTATTATAAACTCTATATTTAATGAAAGTAACACTAAGCAAACCAAGAACAACAAAATTTGCAGGAAAAATTGGATATATTCTATAAACTATTTTTCCTGTTAGCTCGAACAAAGTTTGGCATCACAAAGTGCTGTGTCTTTTGAAACGAAGGTTTAAAATGTTTACTTCGAGAGGGACTGGAAATTCTAATAAATGAAAGAAGGTTAAAATAACTCATTGTGTCAGTGAACAAAAATTAAAAGGATTCAACGAAGAAAATTTTATTTTGGACGAAATAACCGTGCTATTTATAAGACGAAGAAACTATTAAGAATACTCGGTTTAAACTTTAATATGCTTTAAAGTACTAATAATTAGTTATGAGACATCCGAAATTTTTTTTGATTGAGATCATGAACCAATTGATGTTGGACCATCACAATTGAAAACCTGGAAGCACTGGACGGCTGTTTTGTCCTATTGTGGGACTCCTCAGCAGTGGGCATCCACGATCCTGCGAGCGGGATTCGAACCCAGGGCCTTCGGTCTCGCGCGCAAACGCTTAACCAACTGGACCACTGAGCCGGCATCCAATGGTGATAGTTTCTAACATCAACCAATCCACGAAATTGCGCGACCAACTTCCATTGTACTGAGGTAGATAACTGTCTCTACCCGACAAGGATTAGCTCCACTGGTCACGGCTTCTCACTAGAACTCCGAGAATTCCCTCACGAAGCTAGTCACTAGTGAGCACATGTTGATTACTAGTATAGGAGTTGTGGAGATTATTATTTCAGAAATCGAAGTCTGCATGTTTTCTCATAAAATAATTGTCCAAACTCACGAATAATTAATTTTAGCATCTTTTTATATGTTTCAAGATCAAAGTCTTGCGTAACCATATTATTATTATCACTATTAATTATTAATTATTATTATCATCATTATTACCATCACCATTTTTCGCATTTACGCCACTATCAGGATGGTACGATGCATAAAAATTAAAATGCTTCATAATAAACCGAGTTCATACATGAGAGTGGTTACTCATTTTATTTTTGATTGAATATTGACTTTCATCAATATATTGGTTCGTCATTGTATTACTTTTACAGACGTCATCATTTGAAAGTGGTCGAATGGGCTCAATTCTCACACTTCAAGAACGACTTTTATCTGTACTGGCCTGTCGAGTAAGCTGTCTTTTTTTCTCAAGTATATCCAATTTACTAACTGATCATCACTGTAATCTCCATTTTAACCGAATCGAAGAAAAGAGTGTTGTTACTTACGAGAATTTATGTATAGAAATTTCTAAAGTACTTCAAATCTATCTCAAATAAATCGCGGGGATACTTTAACATTGGAATGACTGAAGAGAATTAATAGAAATTAAAACTCCAGTTAAAATACAAGATTTTGAAATGAATTCTGAGAATATTTTGGCTCATTTAACATTGATTGTCCTTTTTCTTAAACACTGAGATATAATTGGTTTGTATAAAAGTTTAACATGTTTTCAGTATATTAATTTGGTAGTGTAGCACCAATTCAGGAAACAAATGAGACTGCAATGAATACCATGTCTCAATAACAAGTCCTAGTGTAACCATAAGCGTTTATATCATCCAGCTTTATCTGGTGATTAACAGTTTGTTACGTTTTCTACTGCATAAGGAGCTAACTTGTTATTTTTATATGATCCAAGGGTATTGATTTAAAGTGTAAAATTTCGTAAAAATAGACTCACATGTAAACTGTTTACTTAAATCGTTACTCAAACTTCCATCGATTGTGTACCGGTACAACTTTATACCTGATTGTTAAGTTATATTACACTATAAATTATTGATTGACCGATATACTGCATACCATTAGATAATTAATTTATAACTTCACTGGAGTGAGCATTATATTTAGAAACAGTACACCCCATAAATTGTGGTATATTAATTAGAACATCTATGAATTGACCTGCACAACTTTTCTCTCTTCCTAAGTGCATATACAGTCGTAGGTTTACGGTTGGGCTTTCGGAACTATTCCAACAATGTTTTTACTTTACACCATTAAACAGGAAAAATAACTATCATTTAATGTCATCTCACACATTAAAGGTCGTTCTCATACAAATTGTTGAATTAAAAAGTACTGTGTTTGTGCCTCATACCACAAATATTCAAACCACTGGTAGTTAGAACTACGTGGTTTTGTTTTTGGTGCGAACTGAAATCAGTTGGAAAAGTGTTGAGAATCAGGGCTCCATGGACGAAAATTTCGTTCTAGTTAAGAACTTTTCAGTTAGCATCGATATAACCCCATTCGGACTACGAATCATAAACCTTCAATTTCATCAGTGTGCTTGATATGTTCATGTTGCAGTTCCAGATTTGGATCTATCTTGTTTAGGTTCGTGTATGAGCACTCCTATGGAGTTCCAGATGAGGACAATACAACTATCCAGCACTAACAAGAATTATCTTCAACTTGTACAAAATTTCCTTAAAAGCAACTTAGTGAATACCATTTATTATTGTTATTATTATTATCATCAATTTTCTTGAACAATGCGGATGGTTTTGAAAATTCGTTTTACAGTGTTACCTCAAAATGAAAATTTTTATAACTGCTCATATCCATTAGATCTATCACCATAAGAGGTGATGAACTTGATGGATTAACATAACTACTCTTCAAATATAAAAGAATGAAGTTAAGAAAAAATTGATTTAAAATTCTAATAAAATAATCCTTTTTTTAAAATCGATTTACAAAGTATTCTGTCATGATTACATCATTAATTATTACTTTTCCGGATTAAAATTAATTAAATATTATTTTATGGCTTTATTATTGAAAGAAATTAAGAATTGTGAATGTGACTTTTGTTTTATAAATAAAATGTTCAGTAATCAAGTAACAATGAATTAGAAATTTTTTAAAAAAAACTCATTTTCAATGTACAATTTTACATACTTGATTTTGAGCCATTCTTTTCATATAAGGATTAGTGATATTACGTTCAACCTCATACTCCCCAAACCGAATCAAAATGGAGTTCGGACTATTGAGAGTCAATGATTGAAACCACTATCCCATCTCTGTTAATAAGCCTCAAATCTAAGTTTCCATAATTTTATAACAGTGAATGCAATACAATATGACGTCACGTGCAGTAGTCTAAATAATTTTATCATGATACCAATTATTGTTCGTTCATTAGTTTCTTTTTGGTAAAATTTTATAAATTAATGCACTTTAGTTAGTTTAGTTATCAGTAATACTCTCTAATTAATAACTCTATATGAATGTTATTTTATTTTCATTATGAACAGTACGTGAGCAATGTAATTATTGATGCACCGTATGTAATACCTCCCAATCTTTTGGATCATTTCAATGTAAGTCGTTTCCCATTACTGTTAGTTACGGTTTTATTTTGGTCTTGATATCAAATGATTGAAGGTAATCATCAAGAGGTAATGTATAACCTAATTTACGCGCTAGTTCTCACTCATCAACAACACATATGAACAATTTTGATAAGACTGATGTTCCCCTTGGAATCTAAATTTGTGTCACTTAGTGCCACAGTCAGATATCAAAACCGACATTTAAGTCTTCAATAATATTTTAGAAACGAGTCTGGAGGAAGCACATGGTGGTGGGGTGGATCCATTTGTTACTTTGATGAGGACTTTTCAACCTTGAATGTGCGAACGGGATTGTCTTAATTTACGATACGACACAAGCTATCTGCTTACTTACTTACGCCTGTTACTCCTCGTGAAGGAACATTGGCCGCTCGCCAGCATTCTCCATCCAACCCTGCCCTGGGCAATCCTTTCTAGCTCCGTCCAGTTGTAATTCATCGTTTTCATATCTGCTTCTACTATCCGACGCAATGTGTTCTTTGGCCTTCCTGTTTTCCGCCTTCCTTCAGGATTCGAAGTTAGGGCTTGTCTCGTGATGCAGTTTGATAATTTCCTTAGTGTATGCCCTATCCATTTCCATCGTCTTTTCCTAATTTCCTCTTCAGCTGGAAGTTGGTTTGTTCTCTCCCACAGAAGGCTGTTGCTGATGGCATCCGGCCAATGGATGTTGAGTATCTTGCGTAGACAGCTATTTATAAATACTTGTACTTTCTTGATTGTGGTTGTTGTAGTTCTCCAAGTTTCAGCTCCATACAGTAGAACTGCCTTGACGTTGGTATTGAAGATTCTCACTTTGATATTGGTTGAAAGTTGTTTTGAGTTCCACATGCTCTTCAACTGTAGGAATCTGCCCTTGCTTTGCCAATCCTCGCCTTTCCGTCTGCATCTGACCCTCCTTGATCATCGATGCTGCTTCCTAGATATGTGAAGGATTCTACATCTTCCAGAGTTTCGTCATCAAGAGTGACTGCATTACTGTTCTCCGCCTCCAATTTGAGGACCTTGGTTTTCCCTTTGTGTATGCTGAGGCCTACTGATGCAGAGACTGCTGCCACACTGGCTGTCTTTGTTTGCATCTGTTCGTGTGTATGCGATAATGGGCTAGGTCATCTGCGAAGTCCAAATCGTCTAATTGATTTCGAGCTGTCCATTATATCCCGTGTTTTTCCTCAGATGTCGAGGTCTTCATAATCCAATCGACCACCAGAAGAAAGAGGAAGGGAGAGAGTAGACAGCCTTGTCTGACTCCGGTACTTACTTACAATGCATCTGTCAGCTGTCCTCCATGCACTACTTTGCACTGTAGTTCATCGTATGAGTTCCGGATAATATTGACAATCTTCTCAGGAACTCCGTAGTGTCGACGTTTCCATAATGTCCTCCTATCTACACTGTCGAATGCTTTTTCACAATCGATGAAGGTGATGTATAGTGATGAGTTCCACTCAATTGATTGTTCGACGATGATCCGTAATGTTGCAATTTGGTCTGTGCACGACCGATCCTTACGGAATCCAGCTTGTTGATCTCGAAGTTGGGCGTCTACTGCGTCTTTCATCCGGTTCAGCACCACTCTGTTAAATACCTTCCCTGGTATTGACAGTAGAGTAATGCCTCTGTAGTTTTCACATTTGCTCAGGTCTGCTTTATTTGGAATCTTGATGAGGTGTCCTTCATTCCAGTCCATTGGCACTTGTTCCTCTTCCCAAATCTTTTTGAATAGAAGGTAAAGCATGCTTGTGGTTACTTCGATGTTTGACTTCAGTGCTTCAGCTGGTATGTTTTCGGGTCCTGCTGCTTTCCCGTTCTTGATTTGTCTGACGGCCATTCTAATTTCTTCCGTCGTTGGTGGGTTGACATCTATAGGAAGATCTGTGTGCGCTGCTCCGATGTCCGTTGGATTCGTTGGAGCCGGTCTATTCAGGAGTTCCTTGAAGTATTCTACCCATCTGTTCCGCTGTTGTTGAATTTCAGTGATTGGCCTGCGTTTTTAATCTTTGACCGATCTCTCTGGTTTACTGTATTTCCCTGCTAGTTTCTTGGTTGTATCGTAAAGCTGTTTCATATTTCCTTCCCTTGCAGCTTTTTCCGCCGTCGTTGCTAGTTCTTCCACGAATTTCTTCTTGTCGGCTCTAATGCTTTTCTTCACTTGCTTGTTTGCTTCTGTGTATTCGGCTTGTACTTGGACTTTCTCTGTTCGTGTTCGACTGTTGTTAATTGCTGCCTTCTTGTTCTCCCTTTCTTTTATCTTGTCCAGTGTTTCTATAGAGATCCATTCCTTGTGATGGTACTTCTTTAGACCCAGAACCTCTTGACACGTTGAAGTTAATGCTTCCTTTGATACCTTTCCAGTTGTCCTCCATAGTAGTTTCTTCTTCCTTCAGTAGATCTTGTAAGGCTTGGAACCTGTTGTTGAGAGATATCTTGAATTCGTTGATTTTGTTAGTATCTCGAAGGAAGGCTGTATTGAACCTTTGTAGTGTTGTTTGTCCACTTGTCCAGTTTTTCTTTAGCTTCAGTTTTAAATTGGCCACAACTAGGTGGTGATCTGATGCTATGTCAGCACCTCTCCTGGTTCTCACATCTTCCATTGTCCTTCGGAATTTTTTGTTGATGCATATATGATCTATCTGGTTCTCTGAGGTGTGGTCCGGTGAGATCCATGTAGCCTTGTGTATACGCTTGTGTGGAAATATTGTGCCTCCTATGACCAATTTGTTGAATGCACACAGCTTTGCAAATCTTTCTCCATTTTTGTTTCTCTATCCTAGTCCATGTCGTCCCATGATATCTTCATATCCGGTGTTGTCTATTCCAACTTAGGCTTTTAGATCTTCCATCAGAATGGTGAGGTCGTTTCTTGGGCACTTCTCTATGATTGACTGCATCCGCTCGTAGAATTGATCTTTAATGTCGTCGTTATTATCATTGGTGGGTGCATAACATTTTATAATATTCATTGTGATCCCCTCCTTCTTTGTTTTGAATGATGTTTTGATGATTCTGGATCCGTGAGATTCCCATCCTACAAGTGCATTTCGTGCTACTTTGGACAGCATAAGAGCGACTCTCTGAGTGTGTGGAGCATTTTCCTCTTCATGACTGGAGTATAGCAGCATCTCTCCCATATTTAACCTTTATTGTCCAGCTTGGGTCCAATGGGTTTCGCTGATTCCCAGTACTGCTAAGTTGTATCTCCTCATTTCCGTTGCTATTTGACTGGTCTTCCCGGTTTCCCACATTGTTCGGACGTTCCATGTACCTTTAAAAATTGTTACTGTGGTTGTTAGAAGGGGCATCGGCCTCGTGGCTTCCGAAGGAACTCGGCTTTCACCATGAAGTGTCATAATTCTTCTAACTGAAGATCTTCTAACTTTCAGGGCAGAGTTTAAATGGTTTGAATTATTTTTTTCTGGTAAGCGTTTTTTTAGCGAGTTAGTTTTCTACGGGACGCTAACCCAATGCTCAACCCTCCTCCTTTACCCGGGCTTGGGACCGGCAGTAACCCTATAAGAGCTACGGGCGGAGTTACAAGCTATCTGAGTGCCATTTAATTAGTTGTTAAGTAGAGTTCGTAATTATGGGTTTTACTCTGCACCAGCTAGGTGTAAAATATTTCTACAAGACTGGTCGAAGGTCCCCACACCTACTTTTTGTGGTTGTCCGTTATTGTTGTAGAAAAGTTCGTACATCTAGGTAGTTGTGTGAGTACTGGTGTTGACGTGTTAGATCAAGTCAACCTGCGTTTAGTGAAGGCCATCTTTGGAGCCATTATAATGCTAGTCCGTCTATAAAAGGTTGCGTTAACAATGCATCCGCGAAAACAATTCTGCCCTACTATTATGAAACTTCCCGTCCTCCAAGCTAGGAAGCCTCGGCAACTCTGCCCGATCATCTTCGTCTCTTGATGATTTTTGAAATCCAGTGGCAACATCATGTTGGCATAACTTAGGTTCAGCAATATATTTTCGGGAGCAGTGACGACAACTTATTCAGTGTCATCCCCTGTGAACACCAGTTTTTGTTGCTTGAAAATGTTTAATTTTGTCATGTCACAATCTTTCACAGCGTACATCATTTGGGACTAAGCTGGAAAAGCGGACAGGTAATTAATTTATAACATGGCTCCTTGGTGTGGAAAAATGTTGTATAGGACCATCTTCTGTCCCTCCATCATAATTCCCTGAGGTAGATCACAACTCAGGGTTGAAATCATGGGTAACAATACTAAGGTTTGACATGATATTTTTGAATAAATTAAGCACTGACTAGAATGTTGATAATAAAATAATTATTTATTTTTGTTATCCCAATGAGCAGAGATTTTAATTTCTGATGTTTCGCAAAGTAGCTGAAGTCGCTTCTTCAGACAGTAAGTAAATAAATAACCGAATTAACATACGTCTAAATGGTAAAAAGGAACAAGATAGAATATTTGGTTCAATCAAAATCAAAATAGTTTTGATTATGTCAGAGACCTAATAGTCCTATAGAATAGGAAAATCTACAAATTAAACTGACAATGGCAGTAGATACTAGATTTAGTGACCACCAAATTGATATTAAATATATCGAAATAATCCAGAAACACCTTTCCGAATATAAAGAGAAACGAGTAGTTTGAAGTGCTTCATATGATGCTAAACCCCTCTCTCAACAGGAAAGAAAGTCTGACTATTCGCTCAACTTCACCCATTTATCCAAACTGCATTTAATTGTCTTTATTTTATTTTCTAGGTAAATTATGTTGCAATAGGTTGGGATAAAAATCTTACACCAACATTAGAAGGCTTAGATCCGATGATGGTAAGAGTTTTATGTGATTTATTTATTTGTTTATTTATTTGAACACATAAATATTGGTACAAGAGAGCGCCAATATATATGCGCCACACAAAACAATGAAAATTCGAAGAGAGATAGAAAAAAAAACTAAGGACCACAAAAGGTAGTGTGGTCGTAACGATGGAACAGAAAGGTACAATCAGAAGAAATCTTTCAAGTAAGGGAGACACAACCACTATTATGAAGAAAGTAAAAGAAGGTTACAGCAGGATCGCCACTGGCTTCTATTCTGAGCCATATCTGATAACGTCTCTAGCCACTGTGTAGCACCATCTCTCAGACCCCAACCAGGGAGTCGTGAAGGACCGACAGAAGCCAGTCCTTTGCAGCTTTCTTTCATACCACGACACCATGTCATATACTGACCACCTCTCCGCTTTTTCCAACCAGTCCCAGAGTCGGCAAATAATGCACGACGTGGAATTCTCTGGGACGACATTCGTAGAACATGTCCAAGCCACCGAAGTCGGTGTTTCAAGATGGTGACACCAATTGAATTATCATCTCTGTGCCCAAACACACGATGCCGAACCTCTGCATTACTGACATGGTGTTGCCACTGAATATCAGCAATCCTTCGGAGACAGCGATGATCGAACACAGAGAGTCGTCTAACGTCCTCAACTCGGAGAAGCCAGGTTTCACAAGCATAGAGCAAAACAGCTCTCACCGACGCGTTGTAGATCCGACCTTTTACAGCGAGACTAACATCACGAAGGCGCCAAAGATGGCCCAGATTGGCATAAGCCACTCTGGCTTTCACTATACGTGCATTGATCTCATCACTTTTATGTGAACTGGAATGTTAATGTTTTACAATTGATGTTTCTGATGTACACTTGTAGTACTTAATGCTGTTTATTGCATTCATCTGGAGTCGTTTTGCAGTTGATATCAACTTGAACTTATCTACTAGTTTCCAAACCATCTTGTTGATTTGATCACATAAACAAGAGTTACAATGATTCAGTAGGTATTGTCTAAGAAAATTAAGATTCATCCATCTGTGTAACGATATAAAGTTTTGCAATCCATTCACTTATGTATTTCCTACTTTTATTGACCAAAAACACGTTTTCTTAATTATTATTATTATTAAAAAAACATAAACATTGGTACAAGGGGGGCACCAAGCAGATATGCGCCACATAAATCATTCGATTTGTGTGAGGGCTGGGATACTGACCGGGTGCCCGAACCGAAGTAAGTGGTTTTCTTAAGGGGACAGACCCGGAGCCTTTGACCTAAAGGTCTGACCTACAAGGCAGTAGAGCAACGTCAGATGGTGCGGTCCCATGGTAGCCGGTGGCCGACGATTGGTTCATACGCCATTTGTTCCTTCAGGATACTGGAGCCCATGTACACCATTGGTTTTGGATCAGGGTTTTTCAGTTCCCCTAGGCGGACTCTCTGTGTCCATCAACTCGGTTAAGGCGCCGGACATTCGCTTTTCGTCCTCTGAATTTCGTAAACAACGCCTCCGCCAGTAGAAGGCAGTGAGTAAGACTTCCCTGGCAGTGATTGTATGCACGTGGCACGTTGTTTAACTGATAAAAATCATATCCCCCTTGAAGTTCGATTGACCAACCATTCTCCTACTCATAGTTACTTCGTTCACACAATTTGTAAATATCAAATTCAACTTGTTCAAAACACACATATTTTGTTGAAAATGAAGTCAAAACTACTCAAAAATGAAAAAAATTTCTCCACGTTTGCTATTTCCTGATGATATGAAATCAAATTAATAGTTACTTAACGAACATTTATATAAACTAAAGATGGATAGTGGCTAGCAGTGGAATCCAGGGACTGCTAGCCACTATCCATCTTTGTTTATAAAAGCTTGTGAATTATGGCAATATCGAGATATACGTACAGTGTGTACATATGCCAATAACAGACTGATCAATTGCAATATTAACCTCAATGGGAAGATACAAGCAAAAATACCAAGTGAATTTATATAAAATATGGATACATGATGGGTTAGATTAATTGAGATTTTAGTAAAATAGTAAAATAATTATTGGTGCGTAAAAGTTTTTATTACATAACATACTAGTTATTCTTATAAATCTTTCGTCGTTTTACATGGTGATATTCTGGCAACCTGTCTAAATATACTACTGTACTTGAGACACACACACAAATATATATATATATATATATATATATATATATATATATATATATATATATATATATATATATATATATATATATATATATATTCCATATTACTAAGTAGTTCAATATGATCCTGTGCCAATATACAATCCAAAACGATTTGTTTATTTGAGTGTAAATACAGTGGATTATGACAAAGTTAATTTAAATAATTTTGTTAGTATGATTATCCGTTTTATGTTGTTTTTAATATGCCGTAAAATTAATTTATTTTGTCCAATGTTCAATATTCATTTAATGTCGGTTTATTATTATATTCTTGTTTGAATTATTATTTAACTGTGTATATACGGCACATTTAACTCATTCATGATTTACTTCACTATTCATGTTAAAAGAAATTAGAAATACTCAATTACTTGTTTCTTGAGTTGTTGCTTAGACTACTTTCTGAAATGTCTGTTCATGAAGTCTCTTTTCTGTCTTCTATAATATAGCATTGAATGAAGACAGAATGATTAGTAATAGTTGTCATGAATGTACAATAATGTCATATGTTTATACCATAAAATTAACTGAATTGAAATTCCGCATTATACATTAATATTTGTGCATAGACATTTTCACTTATTATTGTCATGAAAGCCTTTTGTTTGTTATGTGCAAGGCAATATATTTTAGTAAATCATAATACTTACTTACGCCTGTTACTCCTCGTGAAGGAACATAGGCCACTCACCAGCATTCTCCATCCAACCCTGCCCTGGGCAATCCTTTCTAGCTCCGTCCAGTTGTAATTCATCGTTTTCATATCTGCTTCTACTATCCGACGCAATGTGTTCTTTGGCCTTCCTCTTTTTCGCTTCCCTTCAGGATTCCAAGTTAGGGCTTGCCTCGTGATGCAGTTTGACGATTTGCGTAATGTATGTCCTATCCATTTCCATCGTCTTTTCCTAATTTCCTCTTCAGCTGGAAGTTGGTTTGTTCTCTCCCACAGAAGGCTGTTGCTGATGGCATCCGGCCAATGGATGTTGAGTATCTTGCGTAGACAGCTATTTATAAATACTTGTACTTTCTTGATTGTGGTTGTTGTAGTTCTCCAAGTTTCAGCTCCATACAGTAGAACTGCCTTGACGTTGGTATTGAAGATTCTCACTTTGATATTGGTTGAAAGTTGTTTTGAGTTCCACATGCTCTTCAACTGTAGGAATCTGCCCTTGCTTTGCCAATCCTCGCCTTTCCGTCTGCATCTGACCCTCCTTGATCATCGATGCTGCTTCCTAGATATGTGAAGGATTCTACATCTTCCAGAGTTTCGTCATCAAGAGTGACTGCATTACTGTTCTCCGCCTTCAATTTGAGGACCTTGGTTTTCCCTTTGTGTATGCTGAGGCCTACTGATGCAGAGACTGCTGCCACACTGGCTGTCTTTGTTTGCATCTGTTCGTGTGTATGCGATAATGGGCTAGGTCATCTGCGAAGTCCAAATCGTCTAATTGATTTCGAGCTGTCCATTATATCCCGTGTTTTTCCTCAGATGTCGAGGTCTTCATAATCCAATCGACCACCAGAAGAAAGAGGAAGGGAGAGAGTAGACAGCCTTGTCTGACTCCGGTACTTACTTACAATGCATCTGTCAGCTGTCCTCCATGCACTACTTTGCACTGTAGTTCATCGTATGAGTTCCGGATAATATTGACAATCTTCTCAGGAACTCCGTAGTGTCGACGTTTCCATAATGTCCTCCTATCTACACTGTCGAATGCTTTTTCACAATCGATGAAGGTGATGTATATTGACGAGTTCCATTCAATCGGTTGTTCGCCGATAATCCGTAATGTTGCAATTTGGTCTGTGCACAACTTATCCTTACGGAGTCCAACCTGTTGATCTCGAACTTGGTCGTCTACTGTATCTTTCATCCGGTTCAGCACCACTCTGTTAAATACCTTCCCTGGTATTGACAGTAGAGTAATGCCTCTGTAGTTTTCACATTTGCTCAGGTCTGCTTTATTTGGAATCTTGATGAGGTGTCCTTCATTCCAGTCCATTGGCACTTGTTCCTCTTCCCAAATCTTTTTGAATAGAAGGTAAAGCATGCTTGTGGTTACTTCGATGTTTGACTTCAGTGCTTCAGCTGGTATGTTTTCGGGTCCTGCTGCTTTCCCGTTCTTGATTTGTCTGACGGCCATTCTAATTTCTTCCGTCGTTGGTGGGTTGACATCTATAGGAAGATCTGTGTGCGCTGCTCCGATGTCCGTTGGATTCGTTGGAGCCGGTCTATTCAGGAGTTCCTTGAAGTATTCTACCCATCTGTTCCGCTGTTGTTGAATTTCAGTGATTGGCCTGCGTTTTTAATCTTTGACCGATCTCTCTGGTTTACTGTATTTCCCTGCTAGTTTCTTGGTTGTATCGTAAAGCTGTTTCATATTTCCTTCCCTTGCAGCTTTTTCCGCCGTCGTTGCTAGTTCTTCCACGAATTTCTTCTTGTCGGCTCTAATGCTTTTCTTCACTTGCTTGTTTGCTTCTGTGTATTCGGCTTGTACTTGGACTTTCTCTGTTCGTGTTCGACTGTTGTTAATTGCTGCCTTCTTGTTCTCCCTTTCTTTTATCTTGTCCAGTGTTTCTATAGAGATCCATTCCTTGTGATGGTACTTCTTTAGACCCAGAACCTCTTGACACGTTGAAGTTAATGCTTCCTTTGATACCTTTCCAGTTGTCCTCCATAGTAGTTTCTTCTTCCTTCAGTAGATCTTGTAAGGCTTGGAACCTGTTGTTGAGAGATATCTTGAATTCGTTGATTTTGTTAGTATCTCGAAGGAAGGCTGTATTGAACCTTTGTAGTGTTGTTTGTCCACTTGTCCAGTTTTTCTTTAGCTTCAGTTTTAAATTGGCCACAACTAGGTGGTGATCTGATGCTATGTCAGCACCTCTCCTGGTTCTCACATCTTCCATTGTCCTTCGGAATTTTTTGTTGATGCATATATGATCTATCTGGTTCTCTGAGGTGTGGTCCGGTGAGATCCATGTAGCCTTGTGTATACGCTTGTGTGGAAATATTGTGCCTCCTATGACCAATTTGTTGAATGCACACAGCTTTGCAAATCTTTCTCCATTTTTGTTTCTCTATCCTAGTCCATGTCGTCCCATGATATCTTCATATCCGGTGTTGTCTATTCCAACTTAGGCTTTTAGATCTTCCATCAGAATGGTGAGGTCGTTTCTTGGGCACTTCTCTATGATTGACTGCATCCGCTCGTAGAATTGATCTTTAATGTCGTCGTTATTATCATTGGTGGGTGCATAACATTTTATAATATTCATTGTGATCCCCTCCTTCTTTGTTTTGAATGATGTTTTGATGATTCTGGATCCGTGAGATTCCCATCCTACAAGTGCATTTCGTGCTACTTTGGACAGCATAAGAGCGACTCTCTGAGTGTGTGGAGCATTTTCCTCTTCATGACTGGAGTATAGCAGCATCTCTCCCATATTTAACCTTTATTGTCCAGCTTGGGTCCAATGGGTTTCGCTGATTCCCAGTACTGCTAAGTTGTATCTCCTCATTTCCGTTGCTATTTGACTGGTCTTCCCGGTTTCCCACATTGTTCGGACGTTCCATGTACCTTTAAAAATTGTTACTGTGGTTGTTAGAAGGGGCATCGGCCTCGTGGCTTCCGAAGGAACTCGGCTTTCACCATGAAGTGTCATAATTCTTCTAACTGAAGATCTTCTAACTTTCAGGGCAGAGTTTAAATGGTTTGGATTATTTTTTCTGGTAAGCGTTTTTTAGCGAGTTAGTTTTCTACGGGACGCTAACCCAATGCTCAACCCTCCTCCTTTACCGCGGTTTGGGTCCGACAATAACTCTGGAAGAGCTACAGGCGGAGTTAAATCATAATACAGACCATTATTAATCTAAAAATTGTTACCCATTTTCACTTTTCCCAACCGCATTACAAATAATGATTTTTTTTCATATTTTACAGTAAATGTATCATTTCACGAATCTATTTATTGCTGTTTTTAATTTTTATTTTCCCAAAGGTTTGTAAAGAACGAGGTATTCTTCGTAGAATCGATAGTGGATGCAATGTTACAACTTCACTTGTTATATCCCGTATTATGAAAAATAGGCAAGTGATATTATTTCATAAGTGTATAATTTTGACTAAGTTATTTGATGGTAAGTTTCATCCGAAATCTTAATAACCTGGAAAGATCTTTAGAACCAGATAGTAAAGCATTTGAGCGTGACAAGCTCCCTTCACTTATCTTAAAAGTCTTGCCAGTCCTGATAGGCTGATGGTCGGAGAAATCTCGTCACGGATTCAGAAGTGTACCGTCCCTAGAACCTTCGGTTTCACATACGGAGTCGTGGATGTGCACTACTGAGGAGTCCCATACTAGGACGAAATGGCCGTCCAATGCTTCTGTTTTCAATGGTGGTTCAAAATTGATCGATTCATGAACCATGATCTCAATCAAAACCCAACAATCTCCACAACCCAATCAGTCAGTCAGTCAGCTACAACGTAGGACCAGGCACATATGTGCATCGGTCCAGGTTGCCATACCGCATCAACACAACAAGATGAACACCAGATTCATAACAGTGGTTAGGTAAAAGGTGGTAATATATAAGAGAAAGATTGCATGTAGAGATATAGTACAAGCAGAAAGAATTGGTTCTTAGAAAGAAAGATATGAAGCGATTTTAATCTCTCAGTTTAAGGGAAGACAGGGAGTGTATACACCGACGCCATTGTGATCGATTCCGAGCCATGTCACCAAGAGTCTCCAACCATTGGTTACGATAGTCACGCGGACCCCAACCAAGTAGTCTGCATCTACGAACATGGCTCAGACTAGAAGTTAGTGACTTCAAGCACTGCCACAACCCAATACTGATAATTTATTATTTGTTCAGTCTCACTTGAAGTTGAATGAAACATATGTAGGTTTCATAGCATCATTTTCTTCAAAATCGAAGAAAGAATTTGTTTTAATGTTGTAATGTGATAAGTTTTTTCTTCTTGAGATTAACTTAATTATACTTTATTTTTTTGATACATCATTCTATACATACACACACAAATTTTCACATATTCATACTCGTACACTGTGCACATGGCAACTAATCAACTTTAGACTTCTTTACGAAGAACGAAATCAGAAAAAAGTGAATAAAGAAGTCCAGTTGGCGAGTAAATTTTTGACAAGTAGTTAACTAGATTGTTTTTTTTAAATTGTCAAACTAAAAACACAACAATTAATTACTGACTTCTCGTGTTTGTTTTTTTGTCAACACTACTTATTCGTTTGTTTTCGTCACCTTTCTTGTCTTCATTTACTTAAAATTATTTTTATTTGATAAAAAAAAAGAAAAGAATGTGTCTTCTCTCTCTGTCTCTCATTCTGTCATCTCACTTTTACGTGAGAACAATAAGACAGTGAATATGAATATAATGGAAATCCTATTGATTGTAAATTAATCTGTCTATTAATCTATATATTGGTACAACATTCTCACATCGTTTTTTATTAATAATTAAAATTTCAATAGATGTGGAAAGTCAATTTACATTGGCTAAATTAATCTTATTAAATTGATGATATTATTAATGATTATACTAGAAATAAACGAAAGGAAATATCAACAGTTGAATATTCTTCATAAACTCAGTTCACATTGCAAAATATATCACATTGATATATTTAAACACCGGTAACATCTTGACCATAGCTGCTACTTTGACGTGATGGTTCGGTTTGCCTACTGTGTTGACTCAGTCGGGCTGCTACATATGTTCGTTTAGATCTCGCCACACCAGCCAGGTCGTTTGGAGAACTATAAGACTTAAAGCAGTATCTTAAGGCCCAAAGTCGTACTGCTGAGTGTAGAGAGGTAGGAAAGTAGTCAGACGTTTCCCTCGGACGACCGGCATTTGAAGTGATGCTGTCTTTTCATAACGGAAGGAAGACATTTGAAAAGGTTGATCCTAGAAATATCACACCCCACCTTACCCCACAGATTTCTGTCTCCGGAGGTAAGGCTTTTTGAAGTGCGGAGTTTATACATCGAAAACTTCCCATAAAAAGGCCGTGCGCGACTCGCCTCAAGCAGTTGTCCATTGGTCTCTGCAGTCATGCTCTCAGGTCTCCAAGACCACCACCAATTTAGCTTGTTTTTCAGTCCCCACAAGAAGAGATATCCTTTTATATTATTATTGTTTTATTAATATAAATGGTTTTATTCAATATTATATTTTAGTACGGTATAAAATTTTCTGTGTGCAACTGAGAAATGACAGTCCTTATACTTTTGTCAGCACCCGATATTATCTTCTTGGCGATCAAATCCCTTTATCACCGCTTCATAATTCTCATATTCCTGCGATTAACCTTTCTGGTATATATTTATCACCATGCGCTGATTTGAGTTCACGAAAAATTATTCCTGGTCTCCTGAGACCACCATCTAAACTACATGTTGGGGCTTTTAATGTTCAAACCTTGTGTCAGATAGAACAACAGGCTCCTTTGCTAGGACTCTAGAATCTCACACCACCAATGTATGCTGCGTCTCCGAAATGCGCACACAGGAATATGAGTACGGTCATTTACTTGACATCACCTTGTCAATATAAGGAACCGGTACGATCTACCTTTCGAATATCTAAAGACCTTACTACAATGTCCTGTGGCCTCGGTGGTATATATATATATCAGGAACAACGAGAGGAGCTAGTCAACTGTGAAAATGATATCCACTCCGAGGTAACTGTATGATAATCGAGAAGCTTTGATAACTTCTTGTAACTTAAACGAAAAATTTAGGAAAAATCAGTTGATTTTAGCTGCGTCTACAGAATTGATAAATGTTCAGTAAGCAGTCAACGTAATGATCGTGGGCAGCGAAAGCTGAATAGGTGGAAATGGTAGCAGCGTTAGATAACGTTAAATAAATGTTCAGTTTTATTAAGGAAACGGGCAGTGAAACTACTTTGGAAAAAGGCGGTACTAATATTCACTGTCAATGCAGGAGACCGAACCGATGGGCAGAACACTTTAGGAAACAGTTCAGCCAGCCTTTAGCTACGTTTCAGTTACACACTATCTCCAAGCTGAATGACATAAGTCCTCAAACTATCAATGAGGTAAAAAAAGGCTATACGCAATATAAAACGTGATGGATTAACTCCTGTGATTTTTATAGATGGTTGTCCAGTTTTGGCAGTTAGATTGACTGAAACCTTAGCTAAAATCTGGGAACTAGACGTAATCTCATCTGACTACTCTTGATCGATAAATGTCCCAGTTTATAAGAAAGGACAAAAATGGTCTTGTGACAATCGCAAGGGAATCAGATTGACTAATACAGTGTCTAAAATATTAACATAAATAATACTTTGATGTCTCATGAAAAGCAAACCCGAGAAAACCAGGAAAGTTTCTGACCTGGAGGTAGATGTATAGACCAAATATTTGTATGCATATTATCTTCCAAATGATTCCTAAGACTTCGTATGTCACGTGTCCTGATAAACGTTACCAGATAACTCCCAACATTGTATACATTTCAGAAGACAACGCTAAGCACGCAATACAGTTCACTATTATACAGCGCAGTTTAATAAGCCACAAACACAGCGAAATAGGAGTCGAGTGAATGAATATGATTCAAGCACATATGTTTATGGAAAAGCGCATGATTCGTCTAGCGATTTAAGCTATTATGAGGAGTGTGTTTGTAGGTTGTAACACGTGATCAGGTAGTCATGTTTATATATTTAATAATACAAAGATATGCAAATATTTACTGCCCGAACGGTACTGTCTGTTAAGAAAAAGTTAATTGAAGAGTTTGACAGTTAAACATTACCAGACTGAAGTGCTATAATGCTATAATAATAACCTCCTCCTAAAAACAATCATGTAAAAAATGTGCATGCAAAAGGGATGTTAAGCTGAACAGAATAACACACTGAAAATATCGAATAATACACAATAAGAATGTATGATCATGCTACTGTTTAAGTTCATATTTGTTTGTGTATGCATGAGTTCGTGTATGTTTGTGAGGCTAGATAAAATAATGATGAAAGGGATATGGTATCGTTTTTAAAGCCTATACAAACAGGCATAAAAATACACATAATGTATCGAATTTCACAATAGATTATGTGAACCTGACGACAAGTGCGTACAAAACGAAGAGGAAGAAAAATAATTTATATTCAAAATAATGAAACAAATTATCAGTTCAAATCATGGCAGTATACCGTTGCGGCCACTTAAATCTCCGACCATATCTCTTCATCACTGAAGTTTCTTCATTTCCATCGTTGGAGATTGCGACTCACGTTTCGGTAATACGATGGTTTTTGAACGATCTGAGTTTATCATCACTATCAATGAAAGCTGATTTGACTCGGTCAATGCAAATTCAGCCCATTTTTCCTGCTTATTGCACAATAAACGTTTATCAGTCATCGCAACCAATTTAAACGAACCGTCATAATTCTGCTGTAAAGTAGACTGCATTATCTATTCTGATGAATACATGAGTGCTACTATTCAGTTGCTGTGGTACGTATATCCGTCTTTATTGTTGTCTAGGAAGCGTTATCTTAAAGTCATGTACTTTTTTGACGTTGTACGTATAGTTTGCAACATCAGTCGGAATACTTATTGAAGTGAAAAATTCTCTGGGCAAACGTAGGGTAGTTCCATGGACCAGCTCTGCTGAACAATAACCAATGTCCTGTTTGATCGTTGTTGAACCCAACATAGCCAGAGGAAGCTTACTGGCCATGTTATCATTAACCAGTAAAGTCGTCAAAGAAGTTTCTAATTACCCATTCAGTCGCTCAACTATGCCATTCGCCATCGGATAGTAGGTTGTCGTGTGAATACGTTGAATTCTGAGAGCTGATGTGAGAAGTGACTTTCGAATTGAGCTCCTCTATCAGTCGTAATATACCAAGAAATCCAACTCTCAACTAGCGTTTTGGCTATGATCTCGGCCGACATGTCCTTTATTGTCCGCTACAGCTCATCTCGTGAATTTATCGATATGTAAAAATGTAGTAGAAGGCATTCGAAATTGGCAGTAGTCCCACTATATTGATGTGTATTATACGATAGAATCAAGTCTCGGCATGACTGAAGGACCCCACTGCAGACAAGGGACTGACATTTTGGTCCTTCATGTACGCTCATGTCTGGTTACGAATACGTATATTCATAGGAAGCGTTCTCCGATTAGCTTGACTATGGCTTTTATTACTGGGTGAGTCATATTATGTATAATTTTGAAGATCTTTCATCGTGACTGCTTCGGGATAAATAGTCAGCTTATGGACGTCATATATTACTTTTACATTGCCGAACTGAGCTTCTTCGAATACTAAAGAAGTTGTGTTATCGGAACTTGATCTTCTCAAACACCGCCAGATTGTGAAAATCGATTCTAGGTGGAATGAGTGCGTTTACCATTGTTCCAGATAGCCTATCAGCTGCTTTGTTATCATCGCCTTTAGTATATCGTATACTAGATGTAAATCAATAAATAAGATCTACTTGTTTAATTTGCCTTCGAAAATTGTGATTTTGTTTGGCGATTAGTGTTTTCGTAAGAGGTTTATGATTTACATACACAGCGAAAATCGTACCCTGTACCATATGAGTAGGTGACAGGCGAAATCTCTGCACAGATTCGAAAAGCTCGTTTAGCTCTTCACCTATAGCAAAGGCGAAATATCGGTCTATCAATTAAAGAACGAGTGTACGGTGCGGCAGTTCATTCTGTTCTACTTTACGGATGCGAAACATGGCCATTAAGAGTAGAAGATACTCGTAAGCTACTAGTATTTGATCACAAATGTATTGGAAATATCTCTGGTATCTGCTGGGATCACCGGGTGGTAAGTAATAGTGAGGTTAGACGCAGGGTATTAGGGAATGATGGTAAATCAGTTGATGAGGTTGTGAATCTTCATCGACTGTAATGGTTGGGCCACGTGTTACGTATGCGTGAAGACCGATTACCACGACGCGCAATGCTGACTAGTGTTGGAGGTAGTTTGAAGAAACTTAGGGTTGGTCAAACCAAAACGTGATATCAGTGCTTGAAGACACTAATTTCTAGTCTGATCCATGTTGGTAGATGGGGTTTATGTGACTATCGTAACCAATGGTTGGAGACTCTTGGTGACATGTCTCAGAATCGATTCCAATGACGTCGGTGTATACACTCTCTGTCTTCTTCCCCTAAACTAAGAGGTTAAAATCGCTTTATATGTCTTTTCACGAATTACTTCTTTCTTCCTGCACTATATCCTTATACTCAATCTTTCTTTTGTATATTACCACCATTGAAGTGACTACTGCTATGAATCCGTTGTTCATTTTGTTGTGCTAATGAGGTGTGGCAACTTGAACCGACGTATATGTGTGCCTGATCCTACGTTATAGCTGACTGACTGACCAATGAAACATAAATTTATAGTGAATGTTTTATAGCATAATTCGAGAACTGGACCTCTGTAATTAAAGACTGTATTCTAAAATCCAATAGAGGGTTATATTATTCAATACGTCATCTGACTCTCTTTTTTACCCAGTGGATCGAGTCATACGTATAGTACGAAAAAAT